CCCACCGGGGTCTTCGTGCGCATCGATGCACAGGACCGCCCACAGCTTCACTGAGTCTGGTTTGTCAGTGCCACATTTCGCTGCAAATTTGGCAGGGTGAGCATGAAGTTCAGACGCCTTTTCGCTCGATACCGATAGCTCTCTGGTGGGCTTTCTCGACAATGACCACTGTGGGTGGCACGGACGCAAGATCCAAGCAAGAGCGAGCTGAACACTCTCTCCACGTCTCCGTCTCTGTACTTTGCGAACTTCTGCAGGCTACGGTGACATTGTTCCCACGACGCTCCCAGGCCAGCTGCGAGTGAGGATGCTTACATGTGCTCGATGAGTCGCCAGTCGCCATTCGAGAGATTTCAGGCCTCAGAGCTGCTGTGGCTCTATAGATCCCTGTCCCTGTCAGGAAAGATTGTCGGTGTTATGTGCTTCTATTGTGGAGTCACTGAGCAGCACCCGAGTCAGCAGTACCAGCTGAACATGATGTGCTCCACTTGTGCTGCAGTAGCTAGGATGCTAGGTTCATGATGCTGACCCCTCAAGAGGGAGGCAGGCCGAGGCTTCTGTCGGATCCCTCTATTTTCCCAGGTGATCCTCTTGGCGCTGCCCATCGGAGTCTTGAGCGGATACCTCAGGAAGTCCTTGGCAAGCCAAGCAGCAGAGCCTAAGACTTAACAAGCCCCTGTGGCCCAAGGTTCGAACTTCGAGAACGCTTACTCACAGGCATCGTCTCATTCGCAAGGCCGAAGGCTCCCCGGCGACTTGGAGTGTCTGCACCCATCGTCTTCGGCTGGCCTTCCTTGCAAATCCACTGAGGCTGTCCTTTCATGAGAACCTTCGGAGTAGCACCACGAGATCCACAAAGTCTCCTGCCCAGACATTCCCGGACAGCGGAAGCAAGACTTGTGAGTTTTTGGCTGTAGCGCCCTTGTCTGTTACAAGCCCGATCTGTGGTATGGCAAAATGACGGTGCAGAAAGCAGTCTTGGATTGTTGGCCCCTGACCGAGGTTGGAGCCACATGAATCTTGTCTCAATATCAGAAGTCCTGCTCTATACTCCTAGACGGGAGGAGAGTCTCCGATATGGTGGCTGACTACCTCATGCTTTACTTCGCTGCATGCTGCAGAACTGAAACCCAACGCCTTTGTCGAAATGCAGCATCTCAGGTTCAACAGATGCAGCCACCTCGGGGTTCGCGCTGGTTTCCGGAAGAAGAAGTTTCATGGAGTCGGCAGTGCCCCAGCACGGAAAAGAGGATTATCAATGCAGACTCTCGGTATCTAGTCAACTCGCACTTCAGATCTGCATCCCGCCCGAGGCTATTCCTTATCATGAGCGATCCCGGATCAAGCCGTGCATCCAACGTGGCCTCCCGGTGGAAGTGTTGCTGGTCGGTTGTTGTGGGTTGTCACGGCTGCAGTTGCTTAACAAAGAGTTTCACGCTGCTGTGCATGGGCCGCAACATGCTGCAAGGTGTCCTGGTTCGTTACGGCAGTGATCATGGTCGCCACGGTTGCTCGGCAGCACACGCTACCAAGTCTCCTGACACGAGGGATCCGCTGTCGTGTGGCGGCGGACACATCAGACCTGTCTCCAGGTGTCCATGTTGCTCGAGTCCCTGCCCGAATTCAATGTTACTCCCGCCGAGTGCAAGCCCTGGCCAGAGCGGCTTTGAATGAAATTGCACGGTCGGTTTGGCTTTGACTACCGGCCACCTTCTGCGTTCTCCATCTTGGCAACACCAGCACTCTTATGTTTATATCGTTTGTTCAATCCTTCAGATCTGCTTGTTGCGACCGCCTTCGCTGATGGATTGGAAGAAATGTGGTGTCAGCCAAGGATAACCGTTGCAAGCTGCCGTCCTGTTCCTCGTCACTTGCCTTGCATCAAAGTTGCGGCTTCTACTTCTGCCACGTTGGAGACAACTCGTGGATGCACAGCGTGGCATTCATGTGGTTGATTGGTTTGCGAACATGAATCGAAAGCGAGCGGCAGGCCCTGCGTTTGAGTATGTGGAGCTCGTTTGCATGATCGTCTTCACCATAGACTACGTGCCTCGTTGGCGTGCAGATGCTTCAGTCAAGGGAAGACTTCCACTGAAGTGAATCATGTGGCAGTCAACACGGGCGAAGACATTCTGATTTCTTCTGGCTGCATCTATTTAGAACCCAGTGCATGCTTACGAGAATGGTGCTGAAAGAACTCTTGGATGTCCTGGGGTTCACAGACTGGATGGAGATGATCACGTTCTCAGACGGGCAGTCCCAAAAATTCCTTGCCTCAGGTGATGCGAATTGCATTGGCGGTTCGCTTAGCTGCTCCGTAGCTGGTGAACACAGAGCTTCACTCGAAGAGACGTGTGCAGATTATCCTGGATTTCGTTTCAGGTGCACCGTGCACTACCCCAAGACATCGGATTGGTGGAGAAAGAAGTTCTGGCACCCAGAACACGGACTACGCAGTCCTGTGCAAAGCGTAAAGATGAGAGACGAGACTTGAAAGACAATCTGTCGAGCGCTGCTCTAAGGTGAGTCGATTAAAGATGACTTGGAAGTATGCTTCCTGCCGGCATCCGCACAGGCAATGCATGCAAGATATGCAGTTTTGCGAAGTTGCCTGATGGCTGACCCAGGCTTCAAGCTTAATTGGCGTTTGATCCCTTGGAAGCCAAGGCAATACAAGTGCTGAACTTGGTAGACTTTTTCGCCATTGCGCCGTACTACATCTCTCTCAGTTCCTTGGATGAAGGGAACCTTTGACATGCCACCGCCTTCGGTCACTTTCGCTTGCCACCATCCGATCGGAATGCCGACAGTATCCGACAGTCCTTTGATCTGTCTGAGGCGGCTTGTATCAGGGAAGCACCGCCGCGCTTCGAGTGCTGCGACTGGTGAGGGTGCTGCTTGTCTGGAAGATATCAACCTACATCCGTGTGCCGAGATCGACGTGTTGAATTGGAAAGTTGACTGCAGCCTGAAGATTCTCCATGCAAGAGGATCTCCGGGTCCTGCATACAGTTCGCGCGGGGCAGTCCATCCTGTTTTGAGCAAAGCTACTAGAAAATGGGCAGCAGTTCTTTGGGAAGTGCTGCTCTCAGGTTTCGCTTACTGAAATCCCCAAAGCTGCGAGACGGTCGCTGCCCCAGTGACTGTGTGCAGCAAACGCCCTGCAGCCGGAGCTTTGAAGCCCCAGCGGTGGCGGAGGCGTGGAAATGATCATCAACATCGTCGGGCCCGGTTGCACGAGCTTGTTCTGCCAGATTTTACATGCCAGTTTCCACTTGACTGCGCTTGTTCGGAGATGTCCCGCGACCCTGAAGGGACTCGTTGCCTGGAATTCTGTCCGTGTTCTCCTTGACGAGCATTGTATGCATTCTCTTTTCCTCCAGCCTCTGGATCGCCGAGGGGACGTCCCTTGCCTGGATGAAAAAGTGCACGCTCTGCTGCGAAGCATCCGGCGTTCAAGCTTTCCGAGCACTGTCAGGGAGTATTCTGTCAGCGCCTTCCCGGATGAGTACCCGCTTGGGGTCTACGTCAGGCCGACGACCTTGGATGGCAAAAGGTCACAGCGTGTCCATGCAATATGTAGCAACGCTCGGAAAGCTTTGCAAAGGCGACTCTCAGAGCATGTCCCGGAACAGTGGCTGTAAGAGTGACGACCAAGGAAATATGGATATGGACTCTTGGCCTGAACCGAAGTGGAGAGAGTGACAGAGTGTTCGAGTATATACGTAGGTTGTCGCAGAGGACTCTTAGTCCTGAGTTATTCAAGCTCCGATGTCAGGCAGGCTACATAATGACACAGACATAGACATGCAACGAGTGCAGTGGCCCACACCAGAGTTTTGCATCCCAGGTGTGGAGCCAACCCCGTTCACTTCTATCTCCCATTGCTTCTGGTGGTTCTTTGTTACTGCCACCCGGCCGCTGGTACTCTTTGAATGCTGTGTTTCTCTCCGGACCGGCGCACCTGGACCAAGGCTACGACTGTTGGTTACGGCGGCTCGGTGGCAAAGACTGTGACGGAGGACTGGCACTTGTGTTGATGCAGTTTATCACAACTTGAAGGAGACGAATATCCTACGACGACATTAGGAAGGATCACGGCGATTGGATCCTTTTATGCGCCATCCCCGGCTTACCTCTTTCTGGCTGCAGCTCTCTGAGATGTAATATCTTCAGCGAGCACCGCTGCGATAGGGGTGAGTATGAATGTTTGCATGCTGAGGCAGGAATTGTGTTGGTGGCGATCAAGCTCACAATTGTCGGTGCGGCCCTTGGTTTCGAGAGCACAGGTCTTGTTCGCATGCTGTGTGGTGCTCCGCTAACCCCCTGTCCTACCTTCTTTAAGGCCGTGCCTTGAAAAGGCAGTTCCCCCAGTGGAATGGACAGGCCAGTTCGGGCGTGTCGGCAGTGGACGCACATGTGGGGTGTCCAAACCAACCGGCCGCATGGCAAAGGCTGTTTGCATACCGATTCTCGACCCCATGTAGAAATCGCAATGCACAGGCCGCATGAAAGAGGCAGTGCCTTGGCAGAATGATGCTGTCACAGAAGAAGCAGTTGCAGGGAGTTCGACATGTTGCGAGAAGTTCAGGAGTACCGATCCACAGGTTTGCAGGACCCTCCCAATTGCCGATTGCTGTCCAAGGAATGTATGGTACGCATTTTAAAAATGCAGTGTGAAGTCACTCTAGCAGTTGCGAATTCGATGCTCGGGAATCCTGCAGCATCCAACCGGTGCAAATAAAGCGGCTCAGTCCGTTCTTGGGGCCTGCGGCCTTTGGCAGTTGCGGATATGATATCCAAAAAGAGTTGCGCGGGATTCAGTTATGTTTTCGGTCCATGCTCGGCCTAAGGCCCTGCTGTTTCAACTCACTGCGTAAAGGATTTGACGGCAGCCAAGCGCGGTGAAAAAGATTGTCTGTCTTCCTGTCTTGCGGGCTTGCAGGCTCGCAAGGCTAGGCTGAAGGCCTGCTGAGCAAACTGGATCTTTTGCAAGTGAGGCCTTGGGTCGCAGCACTGAGCAGGAGGCCTGCCAGCACACTTGCATGCCCAGCCTTTCAGACAATCAGAGTTATTCCAAGACACGTTGCCAGATTGCTTCAGGACGGACTTCCTGGACGAGTAGTAGCGCAGCCTGGCCTGGACGCCAGTTTGTGCAACCTGCATGCCACGCAGTTTAACACTTGAACCCATGACTGGCCGAGTTCGGGCCAGCCCTCGTGGCAAGTCGCCAACCGCGATGGCTGCCGAGAGGAGGCGTCCCCGGGAGCTACTCGTAGAGTGTTCATGCAAGTCCTGCCCCGCGGCGCAGTGTTCACTAGGGCTACTAAGATGTGCCCAGGCGCCGCAAAGCTGCCGAGCGTGCAGGCAGCGACTTCAGAGCGCGGGCAGTGAAAGCTCGGCTTCTTTCTTTAACACTCCGTAGGATTACTGGATGAGGAGGAGGAGTCTGCTTCTTATGCCTGGAGTTGATTTTGTTCCCTTGGCCTGGCAGCATCCCTTTTTGTTGTCGCGGCGTGGCAGACTTCCTGGCCGAGGTGGGTCTGA